AGCGATAGAACATTCGCTATTGCTGAGCGCACGATAATTCGCGATAATATATTTTAACCACCAAAGTACGAGAGTGCGATTCATCTGAGTAAGGGCTTCGCTAGTTGTCGTCCGCTGCATCCTCGCTCCTCTATGTCCTCCGCTCCTCGTTGTCCTCCGCTCCTCGTCCTGGTGGCCGGCAAGGGACGTCGAGGGGCACAAAATTCGAGACGCGCTGACCTTCGCATCTGCTCCGCTCGCAAAAATCGCTTCCTCGCTTTGTTCTAGATCTTCACAATAAACATTCGACGGAACGCGATATTCAGCAAGGTCTCGAAAAACCGTTAGCGACACGACACGCAAAAAACATTCTCGCTAACTCGGTACGGGATTCTTGAGACGGGCGCCTCCACGGCTGTCACGTCACAATGCATACAATCACTTTCTTATTATTTATCATCAGCATCAATAACGTTTTAATATGTACTAAAATATATATTGCATTGTAAGCAATGCAAAATATGTGTCTATATTCGTGTTTGCGTTAAACAAGCCTGACACTTCCCTAATTACCTTTGATTAATAGCATAAAAACGAGACATATGCAAAACAATCATATTCGAAAAACATTAATTACATGCCCTAAGGTAAAAAAAAAAAACGCCGCACAAGGATAACTCGTCGCCGGGTTTTGAACGCTCGCTGCCAGCTCAAAAATTTTCGACGTGGGAGCCTCAGCCTGCTCGGCCACGCCACACCGCTGAAAAACAGTCGCATTTTTAGCCATATCCGTGATACAGTCTCGCAATCCAAACTTTATATTGTAATTTCTCATAAACAAAGGCCCATTGGCACAAATCTCAATTAGGGTATTGATGCTTATCATTACAGCTAGCAAACGTGTTATGTCTCGTTCAGAAATCGATTTAGCAGGTTGTAGCATCTCCTTGTTAATGCGAAACGCTAACACTTTCAACAGGATAGAACGCTTGTCTTTTGTTTTGTGCGTGGTATGCTTCTTCAATCATCGACGGCTGCGACGCGCATCAAGAAGTACAGTAATCAATCGCACGATATATTACACTTTCTTCGCGTTCACATGACACACGAAAATAACAGTCTTTTCATCGAAACCTTGATAAAGCGAGCCGCTTTGTCTTAATATTACTTACATATACGCAATTACGGAGTATATCTTTTTATGTTAGTTGTTTCTCTTTTCATTGATTTATTCGTAAATTAACTCATTTATTGTTTGTTCCTTTTAAAGATTTTTAATAATATCATAATGACATCCCTCGAATATTATGAATTATTTTCTATTTTGCGAACCCTCTGAAAAAATTTGAAAGATTATAGAAGTCTTTTAAAACATATTAATAAAAAAAAGAATTTAATTTTTCCGAAAACGGTGAGATACATTTAACTGGGCCATTACAAAAGTTTTCTTTGCATTGATATGAACGATAGCATAAATCAAATCGCAAATATGATAGATTCATAAAACAAAATGAATTCTGGTTGCAAAAACAATTTCAATTTCCCCAAAAATCTTTAAATACAAGTCCGATAAACAGATAATTATGCCAAGCTTCAACATCAAGAGATGTAGAACAAAAACAAAACCGTTCACATAAACGAAAATCATTTTTAAACTTATCTGATAAAGGAAAAAGAAGACGTACTGCATCATTAACAACCGAAAATACCAGGGTTGGGAAGTAACGCGTTAC